AGGAGGCTGCATCTTTCAAACGGGGGGCTGAAACGACGAAATGATAATAATTTAGAATTTGTACTCTCTATCGCGGAGGAGTTTCTGGCTCTCCTCAGGGGGATGTAGATCCAGGTGTGATCGGGAAAAACCCAAGAGGTTTCTTCCGCTGATGCTTACTTAGATGCCCAGGGTTTTGGGGACGAAGCCTGTAGGAAAACGTCCGCACTGAGTGCAAGCACGCCAGCAGAGGACGCCATGATAAGGAACGAGGATACTTTGGCTGTCGTGATCAGTCTAGCTCTTCTGCTTCCCACGGAATCCGGTGTCACAGGTGTTGGATTAGTTGAAAAGGGTGACGAGAGTCGAAAACTGCTTGAATTTCGATACCTTATTTATTTCATGTGAAATGAATCTTTTTTGCTGCATGCAGAGACAGAGATAATCATGTGAAAGATATTACGATAGATAAGAAGACAGCAGGATAAGATGTATTAGAAGATATTGGGAAAGACTCAGGTAAAGCAATCCTCCATTTGGACGGGCATCCTATCCTCGCTTGGGGGGTTTCTTGGTCATGGTCTTGGGCATGTCTTCGGTAGGAGCTTTCTTCGTCGAGACCTTCTTCTTCCTTGAGGCCTTTGCCTTGGATGAGCCTTTCTAGCTTCACGCGAAGAAGAACTCCGGCCGGAAGAAGGACCTTGGCCGAAAGAAGAACCCCTAGAACCGTCTACCGTAGAAGCTTCTCCGTGAGACCCTAGACCGAGCGAAAGCCGACGTGGAGGCGGGGGATCGAAAGGCTGCAGGTTCCTCAGCGGTGCAGGATGGTTGAGTGCAGATCCAGATGCTGTCATCGTCTTGTTGCAGGTGTCCGTGAGGACGGGAAAGTCGTCGGGGGGCCTCGTCGTGGATCGGCATCGTCCAGGTCAGCTGTCCTCCTCTCTTCCCTCCTTCGTCCATTGTGCGTTGTTCTGTCTCTGAATGTGTTTCAGCCCGTTCGTCACTCCTGCTCGTCGGTTGTTCCTGGTATCACTGGGTGGTGAAGGAACGTCCACGGGGATCTATCGAGAGTCGGTTGTCAAACGAGACGGATCAAACATTACTGAGAGGTCGAGACGAGAATTTCGGTTGGTAGAGTCGGAGCCTAGAGATCTCTCAAATAATGAATTTCTTCAATAATCGAATCTCTTTCACCTGTTGCACCTTAAGCGGAAGTTTTCCGCCGATTTCTCGAAATTCGTCCTTCCGAAGCATGAAATACTGCAGGCGCTTGATAAGCAATGGATAATCGGATCACGGGGCATCGAAGAGATTTCCTTAGACGAAGAAGATGCATGGGCATAAGCTCAGAAGCTAAAAAAATATCGCTTGTCGTGTTGCTACTCCACGACTGAGCGCGTGTTCTCGGAGGTAGGCAGGAAAGAACGTGCTTTCAACACAACCGCCCTATCGATTGTGACAATGCTTATGCGGTTCGTAGCGGTGAAACCTGTATTCTTAGACGAGCGCATCTTACACCCTTCGAAAGCGCGCTTCATGGTATTGACAGTTGTAAGCGGTGGATGGGACGCTTCCTGAAACTTCAATACGACCTTGACTCCCCCCCCCCCCCCTCCCCCCCCCCCCCCCCCTTACAATTTCTGCATTGGCGTCCCTGGGCTTCACAGTCACATCACCAAAGGTCAATTCAATACGAACTTCTCCTCGAAAATATTTGAATGAAAAATACACGATGAAATCGCTCCCTAGACGCGAAAATTTCTTATGGACTGATGATGGAAGCAAACAAGTTCTTGGGGCGATCGACAATCATTTCTGCATTCCGGAACAGCTTTCATTTGATTCCGAGAAATAAATCAGCTTCGTCGAGACTTTTAAACCCAAAACTCTTAACCTCAAATTACTGAAAATTTGAACAGCGAACGTGAAACTTCCTTTAGTGGCCCATTGCATGCTTTCATGAAGTTCCTCCCAAATGTCAGGGCATTTCTTGCCCTTTGCAATTCCCGAAACTACGATTTTACCTGCCGCGAGTCACGGTTGCCTTCTGGAAAAGTTCGTGAAGCGAACTTCGTTCATCTGATTTCTGTCATTGGAAAACCAGGTGGCTGGGCTTATAGTACTCGGTTCGTATTAAATAAAAATAATAATTTTTTTTCTTCTTCCAAAACTTCTGGCGAAGACATCGTGGCGAAGGCAGGAACCCGGTAAAATCAAGAATTCCCATTGCAATCCGTGCGATTTTTGCGTGTCTTTTGAATGTCAAGGATAATTTATTTCTATTTGTTAAATAAACCGAGCGTTTGAACGTCGTGTTTAATTGACATTCGTGAGGATGATTTTCTCTTTTTTTGCATTTTTTTTCTCTTTGAATCCTGCTAAGGGCATTGTCATTTGTCATTTGTGGGAAATTCCCTTTTTTCCGTCTAAATGAAAATAAAGTAAATTAAATAATAGGTAAAGACAATTCTGAGTATCAGTGAAGTCGATCAAATTTTCATTCGATTTTTTCCGTAAAAAAATAATGGAGACGCCTTGATCGAGTGTCTACTGTTCTGCAATGAAGAAATAAATTGTCGAACCATTCAGAATTTAAAAGAAATTCCTTTTGAGAGGGAAAAGTTTCCCCTGCGAAGCAACTTCTTCGATACCCGGTATGTTCCATTCCGAAGCATTTCGAGTTGACAGAAGCAGTCGACGGCCGATCGCCCACAAATTCCCTTCGCGAGCCCCCGGCCTTCCCTGGTGGGTCTCGGCCTCCTTTCGATCTCCCGCCTCCACCAGCCGAAAGCGAGCCAGATCCCAGAGTGCCTCTTCGAAGATGCCATCTGCCAAGATCCCCAAGAAGAAAGCCGGTTCCAGGAAGAAGGCCAGCCTCAAGAAGAAGCGCACTTCGAAGAAAGGCTCATCCAATCCTCCCAAAAGGAGGGCGGCGCCAGGATGAGGGAAGGGTAGGTCTGTCATAATTGAGGAATTCTCTGGGAAAGCGGACCCATGTGCAGGAGTCACAATTCGAGAAAAGCAGGAAAATCTTCTCAGAGCTCATCTGCGACCAATCTGAATCCAGACTTCTGTCAAATGGAATTCTACAGTATATTTAAACTTTAGGCTTGAATTAATTTCCCCCCCCCCCCCCCTTTAAGTGGTCGGAATGCAAGCAGAAACTGATCATGCATACATATCATTAATTTTCCAGTCATTCTTTCGGTCGTCTCACTTCCTTTCAAAAGATAATAATTTACTTCCGAATTAATTTATAGGTTATAGAAAGCCCTTCCCGGAGATGAGGAAAACAGTACTTGAAAAGTGACATTGTTGACATGTCATGACAGCTGTCACGACGGTTCCAGTCTTCTCCACATGAGCACCGCCACCATTCCGTCTTCGGGCATCCCCCCCATATGGTTGCGTGACTAGTCCTTCTTTGCCTTTCCTCCCTACAAGCAGTCACTACAAGACAGCTGGACTCGCCATCTAGCGGGAACTTGGAGAAAATTGCTTCTCCCTTGCTGCAAACTTTTCAACTACATCAAGATCGCTTTATCCTATTGCAAGTGTTCCATAGCAGCGCATGAACAAGGATATGAAAAAAGAATGCATGGGCAATTTCGTCCTTTTTCCAGAGAATTTCTCAATTCATCCGCTAGCTCTTCTGCTGGGGTGACGAGAATCGAAGACTGCTTGAATTTCAATACCTTATTTATTTCATGTGAAATGTATCTTTTTTGTTGCATGCAGAGACAGAGATAATCATGTGAAAGATATTACGATAGATAAGAAGACAGCAGGATGATAACATGTATTAGAAGATATTGGGAAAGACTCAGGTAAAGCGATCCTCCATTTGGACGGGCATCCTATCCTCGCTTGGGGGTTTTCTTGGTCATGGTCTTGGGCATGTCTTCGGTGGGAGCTTTCTTCGTCGAGACCCTCTTCCTCCTTGAGGTCTTTGCCTTGGATGAGCCTTTCTTCGAAGTCGCGAAGAAGAACTCCGGCCGGAAGAAGGACCTTGGCCGAAAGAAGAACCCCTAGAACCGTCTACCGTAGAAGCTTCTCCGTGAGACCCTAGACCGAGCGAAAGCCGACGTGGAGGCGGGAGATCGAAAGGCTGCAGGTTCCTCAGCGGTGCAGGATGGTTGAGTGCAGATCCAGATGCTGTCATCGTCTTGTTGCAGGTGTCCGTGAGGATGGAAGCGTCGTCGAAGGGCCTCGTCATGGATCGGCATCGTCCAGGTCAGCTGTCCTCTCTTCCCTTCTTCGTCCATTGTGCGCTGTTCTGTCTCTGGATGTGTTTCAGCCCGTTCGTCACTCCTGCTCTTCGGTTGTTCTTGGTATCACTGGACGGTGAAGGAACGTCCACGGGGATCTATCGAGAGTTGGTTGTCAAACGAGACGGATCAAACATTACTGAGAGGTCGAGACGAGAGTTTCGGTTGGTAGAGTCGGAGCCTAGAGATCTCTCAAACAATGAATTTCTTAAATAATCGATCCCTCCTTCACCTACTACACCTAAAAGGAACCTTTCCGTCTATGTTCTTTTATAAGTGTCTTGAAATTTGCCCATAGGAATTGCGATTTACCCTCTTGGCACACCGGAAACACATCTTTCTACACGTTCATAAGTCCAAAAATGTATATTGGCTAATATGGTGACACTTGGTACGAAACATGGAACATTTGGACTAGATCATCATTCGCCTTTGTGTCAAATTTTGAGTTTAACCCACTGCCGAAAAGTAACTTCCTCTCGACGAACGATGAAGACTGCGCCAACGTTCACCATGGAATCCGTAAATTACATGCCTTATCGAGTCGTCATGAAATTTACATCCCAATTACAACCTAACCGCTCCACGTTGCATTGAGGTTTGACTGCGTCCGAGTGGTTTCTCGTTGATTCGACACAAAATTCATTTATGGAGCTTGTGAGAAGATAGCATCTCACACCATGCACTACTCGCTCGAATAAAACCCCCGAGCATTTTTGCCCCATTTTGATTTATTTCTCATCCCAGGCAAACTCACCCCCCGAAACTGCCTGCACCCACATACTCCCATCTGATGGCATCTGCCTCCCTCACCCCCGACAGCAGCGCTCCATGCATCGTGGAGAAATAGACCGGATGCGTCGCCTCCCCCGCGAAGTGCAGCCTCGGCCCCCTCCCCCCCCTCAGTGGTTCGGCCAGCGCCTCCACGTCCTCTCTCCCCGATCCCGTCGACACGAACGAGTACGACCCGCGGAAGCGCGGGCTCGACACCCACTTCGTCCTTAGGACCTGCCTCGGAGGTTCGAGCAGGGGATTCCCCGTGAATTCCCTCAGCAGCTGGGTGCATCCGACGGCGACGTCCTCGGGTGGCAAACCCTCGATGGCCTCCGCGCCTGAGCCGCAAATCCACGCTACCAAGACTCTCGCGTCTCCCGTCGCCTCCTCGAACGCGTAGACGTATCTTGTCCAATCCTTTTCCGTACGGGTCCGGTATTCTTCGTCCGTCCAGCCGAGCCTCAATCGCCCCTCCCCGGGCGCCCAGAATGGAGGGTCGAACTCAAGGAAGATCTTGTTTACCCTGCCAAACCCGATGTTCGCGATGGATCGCAGCTTCCGGTCCGGGAGCCTCGGTTCGAAGAGATTCGGCGAGTTCTTGAGCACCCCGAGGCTCACCGTCACGATCACGTGGTCGGCCTCGAACGTCTCCCCGTTGGAACACGTGACAGTGACGTTTTCGTTTTTTTCGGTCCAGTCGATGGTCACCACGTGATGGCCCAGTTTCACTCTGCCGTCCGGAATGGAATTCCTGAGGCGGGTCAAGATCTTGCCGAATCCCCCAGGCGCGACCAGGTCCCCACCCGGCAACTCCTCGTAGCAACCGTACCCCTGCGCCGACACCAGGCGCAACTCGTCGCCGGTTTCCAACGCGATCGCGTTCTTGAAGCAGTTGAAGACGCACTCGGCTTGGGAAGCCAGCTTTTGGTCCGCAAAGCTCCGCCCCGCGTCCAAGCGTTCCATGAAAAAATCTTCCAAATTTTTCGTCGGGTCAGAGGGCATCGCTGCGAGCCCGGCGGCTTCGCGCTCGACTCGCCTGAAGATCCCGGCCGCCTTCTGGCTCACCGCGGCGGGGATCGGGGATGCAGCCCTCGCGTAGACGAGGCCGGATGCTTCCCTCTCGTTCGCTCGACGCCGTCCGCCCGAGAGAATTCTCGAAACGTTCGCCAGTTGGTAGATGGGGTTGGCCGGACTGGCACCGTGGACGAAGCTGGCTCCGAGTTCCACGACGGCATTCTGGTCTCCGAACTTTCTCGTGTAAACTCTTCCACCAACCCTTCGGGCACGAATGTGTGCTTCGTCAAATGGGTCAAATTGTGGCACATCTAAGAGGTCTCTCAATTCGGCATGACTAGTCGATTCAAGTTACTCACGATGTAACATAGATTAATCTGGATCGTGAATTTTAATTCAAAATCTCCCCTGAATGGATCGTGTTTCAGTTCGGTGATCGATGTTTTTCTCGATCAAAATTGTGCCATCGAGAAAAAGTCTCAAACCATAGAACAATTGGATGGTTTCTGATGAAACGAAAGCATGTGCTAATCATCTGTGATGTCATTCCATCCAGAGATCATGTTCCTTACACCGGACCATGAGAGGACGCGAAGAAACTAAAATGCCCGAGGAGGCCACGGATGGCACGGTACCTAGAACCGCCTTCGAGGACGGTGACGTCCGAGAACCCGCATTGCACGAGACGACGAGCCGCGGCCAACCCGGCCAGACCCGCGCCGACGATGACGACCCTGGGTGGAGACGACATGGGGGGAAGGTGGAGGGGAAGGTGGAGGGGAGGAGGAGGAAGGGGGGAGGGGAGGGGGTTTCAACTATTCATGATCGGGAATGGAAGATGAGGGAAGAGAAGAGCCTGAAAGGATTGCTCGTAATCCTCCTGAACGGTGCTTCGAAATCTCCCCCGAAAAACAATGATACAAACAGAATCTACATTTTTTATATGACAAAACCGACCATCTCGTTTTCGCACCTCATAATAGCGAGCTGGCGTCTGATGAAGAACAACCGAGGTGCCTGCCATCTCTAGCTCAAGCCAATCTACTCTATTTCCTATTATCCCAAATACGGATTTAAATGTTAAAATTCATTCGTTCACGGGTGTGCTTCAATTGCGACGAGTTTTCGACGCACGCATTGTTCTGTACAGTAGTTCTTAAAAATGTAGAATTTAGAGTCGCAAATGCCTCTCACAATGCCTATGCAGTTGAACAAATTTTAAATGTTTTATTAATGTTATTTTTAATGTCATATTACCTTGTAATGTTCCATTACTTTGTAATGTTATTTTTAACCTGCATATTTACTCGTACATCTATTGCATTCCCACAAGCCTTTTCTTCGCTTGGCTGTTGTCTGAGAGGATAGAGAAGTGAGGAAATGGCATGCGTTTCGTCGAAACCTGCTGCGACGAGTCGACGTTATTTATTGTTTTTTTTTTGTTCTCTTCTTTTAGAAAGTCTGTATATCTTGTGAATGATTAAAAAGTAATTCGTGGCGTTTGATTGGCACCAATTGCTGAAAAAGAATTGGATTGTCTGTCCAGCACTTCTCGGTATTGCTCATGGCAACACTTCGACTTCAGTACTTTCAGTGCTTGCAGTACTTCGACAGAAGGAATTGCCGAAGGCTTAGTGCAAATTGGCGTTTATTTCGGAATGGAATCAGGCCAGGTGAGAAAAGAAGCATCACCAGAGAAAAAAATGAGTGGAGAAGAACGTCTAGTCAACTCTAATTCATTTCCTTTTTTATTTCCTTTCCAGCCAGAGCAGCCGTGTACCTGGCAGCTCAGGAAGGAGATGAGGAATGATAGAACACTATTCGTGCTCGTGAACGATCTGCCGCCGCATCCAATTTAGGTGGATGGATCAGGACATGAAAGCACCTCTCCGAGGAGGAGGATTTCCTTGCCACAGTAGTGCCTCCATATGCGATCCGAAAAGTCCGATTAGGTGTCGTCGACGGCGATTCCGTTCACACCGGTCATGGCGTAGAAATCCATGATGCGTTGGGCCTCGCGGAGCCCGGACATGAAGGCGCCGTGCATGGTGGAGAAATAGTCTGGGTGAGTGGCCTCCCCCGCGAACAGGATCCGGGGGTCGATGTTCCCCGGCACCGGCTGCGAGAGGGTGAACATGTCCGACGGGCCCTCGGCCTTCCGCATGGGCTGGTAGGAGTAGGCGCCGCGGATGCAGGGGTCGGAGGCCCATTTCGAGGCCAGGACGTTCTTCGGTGGGTCCAGCAGGGGGTTCCCGGTGAACTTGCGCAGGGTTTCCGTGCAGATCATCTTGATGGTCTTCAGGTCGTCTTTCTCCATCATCTCTGCTCCGTCGGCCGAGAGCCATCCGACCAAGACGTTGGGATTGTTGGTGACCTCGTCGAAGCTGTAAATGTATTTGTTCCATTCCTTCCCGGTTCGGGATCGGAAATCGGAATCCGGCCATCCGAGCCGTATGTGCCCCTCTCCAGCAACCCAGAAGGGACGCTCGAATTCCAGAAATATCTTGTCGACCCGACCGAATCCGATCCTGGAGATGGCTTCGGTTTTCGACTCCGGAAGCCGGGGAAAGAAAAGATCGGGGCGGGACTTGAGGATCCCCAGGCTCACCGTCACGATCACGTGATCGGCCTCGATCACCTCCCCAGAGGCGCAGTGCACCTTGAGCGGCCTCTCCGACCAGGCGACCTCGCACACTTCCGTGCTCAGCCTCAGCTTGTTGCCCGGAATGAGCGAGCGGAGGTATTCCGGGATCCGCGAGAGACCGTCGGGCACGGCGACGCACTCCGCTCCGGGCATCTCCTTGTAGGTGCCGTACAGCTGGGCCGAGTGCTTCTTCAGGTCGTCTCCCATGTGAAAGGCCAGGTAATTCTTCATGGCGTTCATGATTCGATGAGCGTCGTCTCGCTGGCTCTTCGGGAACTCTCGGGCGATTTCCTCCTCCAGGATGTAATCCAGGTACTCCTCGGCGGTGACGTTCGAGTCCTGATCCGGGCCGTCGACGTAGAGCGCGTGCATCTGCCGCTCCTTTTCCACGAAGATGTTCCCTGCCTTCTTAGCTAGATCGTGATCGATCGCAAAGCCGTGAGGCGTGAAGAACGTCGGGGGATTCCACGCTTCCCGCTTCTTTTCCGGGGGATTCTCCATGATGTCCAAGATCCTGGCCAGCTGATAGATCGGATTCGCCAAGCAACCTCCGTGGATCCAATTCGCCCCCAGTTCCACCAAGGAGGAACCGAATTTCACCGAGCGGACTCGTCCTCCGATCCTGGAACGATTCGAGCAAGATTCGAGCAGCAGTTCGCGCGAGTGCAAGCAGATGGTCAAGGAAACACAAGCGTCCCCACCTGTCGTTGGCTTCCAGCACGAGCGTCTCGGAAAAGCCGTTCTTATGGAGGTAGTGAGCCGCGGCCAGGCCTGCCAAGCCGGCTCCGACCACGACCACCCGCGGCCTCTTTTTCCCCTGGGCCCTCGCGTCCAGTGCATGCAACATGCCTGCCATGTCCCACCAAGTGACCAGCAGGAGACTGGGAAACGAAAGAAACGAGTTCTACATCGATACCGAAACCTGCGACATCGACGACGCGGTTCATTTTTCAGGCAGCAGCTGCACCTGTTCTGCAGCGTTGGAAACCCGTTGAAATCAGCTGCGAGATTCCCGAGCCCTGTTGGCCGGGAACCAACCGTTTCCAACGACGCAAAACAAGGCTCCTTCATGCCAAGAATCTCCTTCTAGGCGTAACGATCGCCTCGAAATATCAAAGGGCGCAAAGGAACCGACGCGAACGACCAGAGTATGCGTCACATCAGCATCTCTTCGCAGTTCACTGCATTCCGATGCAAAGAAATTGGCATGGCGTCCTCGAGCATGTCGCATCCGCGTTTCCTCCCCCCCACTCGAGATAGGAAAAGACTCAACTCATTTGCATCCGGTGACAGCAAGGGAGAATGGCGAGAGGGAGGCACGTTGATGGAGGAGGGAAGGTCACCGCCTACACGATTTCCGCTGGCGAGGCAAACTGAGCTAATTTCAGCTAACGGCATCGTGATGAGGGGCTGGGGATGGAGTTGGCATCGTGACGTGAGTGCAGATGGTGGGGGGGGGGGGGGGAGTAATTTCTCATTTTCCGATAAGTATTTATTTTCTCCTCTGGCAAAACCAAAGGTTGGCAAACGAGTTTTCCATACCGAGAGAGTCAGGAGGTCAGGGACAGAGCAAAACTTTCGGAGGTGCAATAAAAAAAATCCCTCTCCCTAATAATCCATAAAACGACCCAGGGTTGCATGCCCATTGTGATCTTCGACGTTGACATGACAAAGCACATTTTCATCGTTTTGAGATTCTCCACGTTAAAATTTTTAGCAGTTTCTCTAATGAAAAATACTGTTGCAAATACTTTTCTCAAGTTATCACCAATAGTCTAAATATCCACCATCTGGTTGAAATTTCATAAATAAATTTGTGCTAATGAATGCCAATTTGAACATGATTACGACATGGTTGCTGACCATTATATCAAACTGCGATCGACCTCATGTAGGCTCTTTATTTATTTTATTTACATATTTGTCTTTTTTACTTCTTGTGCGTGTGTGTGTGTGCGCGTGGGGGGGGGGGGGTTGGAGAATGTAGAAGATTTTGCTGTTGTAAAAGAGTTTTGCTTGCAGAGGAGAGGATGCAGAGTTTGCGAAGTGGATTGCATTCGTTGGTCAGCAAACGAATCACATATTCCAATCAATATGCGATTGCACAACTCTGTTGCTGAATTTAAATCCACGTTGCAAAATAACTAACGTATTTCCGTACTGGTTATTAAATTAAATGCGATTATTCTAAATTGATAATTCGCCTGCATTGGCAATCTGAATTACTGAATTGACCAGCTATTTGAAGAAATTATATCATTTTCACTGATTGGCGGCCAAAATTTTGAAGCAGATTTCAGAACAGCTGACTTTCTCTAGGGCACAGCCAGAAAGTTTGCATGTGGACCACCTGGTTCATCAGATAAAATGAAAAGCGAGCATATGCCCCGGAAAAAACTTTTGAACCCGAATCGTTTGCTGCTACGTTAAAAAAGATCTGTTTCCTGGAATAATTCGACCGGCGCTCATCGAAGCACGCGGGGAATATACCAATCCAATAAATCCATCCGTCGCGCGACGGGAGGTTCTCATTAGCGACTCGATCGACTCTCACCGCGGCGGGTGAGCGGGAGGGCATCCGCGGAAGAGAGGGATATCAAGAAAAGGCGTATAAAGGAAAGGAGTATGAAGGAGAGGCACATAAAGGAGAAGCATATAAAAGGCAGTGCATTTCTTAATGCTGCTTTGGATACTTGCCCAGGTTTCCCCTTCCTGCCCTTTCTCTTCTTGTCCTTTCAAACCGAAGCTATTCCAGATAGGCAGTGCCCTGAAAAGGTTTTATCGTCTCGCCGCGTTCTGTTCCCCGAGCCACACGAAACCATGAAGGCACGGCGTGCATTTCCGGTTCTGATTTTGTATTTGAGGCGGGAAAGCGTTTTTTTTTCCCCTGTATGCCCTCGCTTCGGGGAGAGTGCAGAGTGAAACTCACTCACCCCCTTCTCCATTCTCCCGAAGAAGCTGGCAATGTGGCCAGAGAAAACTGGAACATCATGAGAATCCATTCAAGATTTTGGCAAGGGTTTCTACGACGAGAAAAAAAAATTCAGCTGTGATTGTTTGGCCCTCGTACCCCCTAGATGTCCACATCAACATTTTTCACGAACTTTTATATTGGCTCTTGGCCATGAGAACCTTTATGAATCCGATTCTGCGTTAATGTCCAGTTTCCAATTCGTACTCGTTAAAAGTCATTTTCAGATATTAGAATAGATAAAAAGATGATTCAGCAAGCAGATTCACATGCCGGAATAGACAGATCAGCAGTAGATAGTGGCAAACGCAAAAATGGACGGCTCGCCAGCAAACTTCGATGATCAGATTTTGCGGATTTTATGATAGTTAGTCCAGTAACTAATCCAGTAATTAAATTATTCCTGATCACTGTTAGATAAGCAGTTTAATCGACATTGGCGAATGAAAATATTTCTTTGATGAATTTTTTCCCTCTGGACCGGAATGAATCTCGATGTGCCAAAACCACGGAGGAAAAGGAGAAACGAAGAACAACGGGATTCTCACGTGGCATGGGACGCCAAAAGGACGAAGGGAAAGAGTCGCAGCCCTGAGCATTTTTTCGAACCCGACTTGGAAACATCGTCCGAAGGGAAGCCTTTCGAACCGCAGAGGGACACTGGGGAGAGGCCGAGAAGGACTGGCGGGTTGGCCGTCCAATGCTCTCTGCGTGTGTGTGTGGAGGGGGGGTATCGTTCCGCAGACATGCCTGGTTGGTTGCTAAGCGGATTGATAATTTCTGCGAGAAGGGTCCCTTACTTTCCCTTGCGAATCGAGGAGGGGAATTCGGGGGGTTTGGACAGAACTTACCAATGAAGGAGGAGAGAATGGAAAGCGTTCATAAGACCGGATGACGAGGATATGGACGGGGTAGAAGCGTTAGACGTGATTTTCCACACATCTGCATGATCAAATTTTCCGCTTTGCATACAACAGACATCAAATGGATTCCGCTGTGGAAAGCAGGATTGCCGCGGTTGTTGCTTTTGAGTAACATTGCACGTGATTGGAAGAATATATGTAGAGACTGTGTGTGTAAGAATAGTGATCAAGCATAGATTAAAGTGAACATGCGCTTTCTGCTGGACATGCGTGTTCAACTTCACAGTCTCGTTTCTTGGCTCCGTCTCTTCATTGATCTTGGCCAAGCTCAGATCTTCATTTTTCCGCCCCCTCCCGTTAAAAAATGTTATCTATGCTGGAATGGCCTCATCCAAACTGCCAGACTGGAGTCGGACTGCAGGGAGAGAAAAATGCGGAGAAAGAACGGGGAAAGAAGCGGGTAATGGACGGGAGAAAGGGACCTTTTTCATTTTAAAACGATCACAAATGGAGTACTGACATTTATTGCTCCATTTACTTTGTTTAGTGCTGAAAAAAAAAAACTATGAAAGGCGCTCAACTCACCTCGCGACTCGCCCTATGAACGACTCACCCAGAACCCCAAGAGATGCAGATGGCTCGTCAGTCCTTCCATGTGTCTTCTCTGATAAGTGTAAATACAAAACAACTAGACAAGATCTGCTCGAGTTTTTCTTCTCCAGGATGCAGCCACTCTTTAATGTCTGGTGCGATCTCTGGAACCGTTTGGTCGTCCCTAAGTAAATTGCACCAGATAGACTAAGGAAATCGGGGATATACCAGAATATATAGATTTTTAAATTTTACTATAAGCAATATGTCATTTTGAAATTTTCTTGAAATGTTTTAAAAGTATTGATGTCCGCGGATTTTTCTAGGATTTTTATAAGAATCTGTCATATGAAGGATGTTCAATTTAAAAGGTTACAAAGGTAACCGGAGGCAGGCGTGATGGTCGATACATGGCGATAGTTTGACCTAGCACTTCTCATCACAGCGTTTGTTGACCAGATGTGCTCAGTACGTTATTGTGCAGCTGCGTGAATAAGATGTCACACAAGCTGACGGGTGGCGCATTCCAAGAGCAACGGTCATGAAATGAGATTTTTATGCGGCCAAGGGGAACGACCACCCCACATTCCTCAGGAAATATGTATGGTGCAGTTCTTCGATTCAGAAAGGACCATAAACGTTTTCTAAATGGTCGAATAGATGCTGGCGTCAATCCTGGCAAGTTTCACCACGCTCTTCATGCTCAGTTTTTTTTCTAGAGAGCTTCTGGAGTATCATGTTGATAAGCTGAACGGGAATTGAGTCATCTGGCATGCACGTGACAATGCATTTCTGCTTCCCATGGCGAGAAGATAAAACTTTAAAGCGGCTCTGAATTTCGCGTAGGTTTACTCAGCGACTCGATCTCTCGAGGCTGCTCCTCGAAGTGAGTCTTGCAAGCGAATGGATATCGCCTGGAGCAGAATCCGGAAGGAAGGAGAGCGAAGGTAAGGAGAGCTGGAAACCCTACTCGATGAAGCGTTCCGATGCGAAGAGACGGCCGACTGTCGAGGGGATGATAGGTGGAGGGTGGAGGTTTCCCCCTGACTTCACTATCGTTTAGTCCATGGGCGCACAACTGAAAAGGCTGTGTGGGCTATTTGCGATTTTTACTCACCTACCGCGGGCTGCAGCTGGCTGACCATAGCTATGGCCAACAGGGCAGGAGCCCTAGTAGCACTGACAACGCCACCATTTATGGCGGGCCGTGAACAAGGGTCTCGTGGCCAGCATGCCGCCCGCGGGCCGTATGTTGTGCACCCCTGGTTTAGACGGTTGGTATGAGGAATAGAACTTGATGAACGATCATGATGTCAGAGGAGAAAGGCTGAGGGAAAGATGGATGGACTTCTCGCAATCAGTTGGAGTTCCTTTGAAAGCAGTGTACGGAAGGGAGAGCCAACGTAGCATCATGGAACAGATGGGAGATTCGACATTTCCGGCTCTTCCTCAATACGGGATCGATGGTGATTCGTCACTACCAGTTTAATCGCATCGCATGCACGGGAAAGCTATTGAGATGAAATCATCGGAAACTTCCTTTATTTCTCGTTTCCTCATCCTCATCAGTACAATATGGCCAGAGATTGAATTTTTCTGTCCTCGAGATGAAGATCCTTTCTAAAGTAAATCATTAGTAAGTGAAAAGAAGTTATTCGAATTCTTTAAATTCTTCATTCCATGAGACAAGCAAGCAAAAATTATTGCAGCGATCAATTACTAATTCTGTCAGATTTTCTGTTTAAAATAGGCGTTTCCTATT